TAGAGAAGGGTATCATGCTGGGTAAAGTAGAGGGTCAGCAAAAAAGGGGAAAACCCTCAACGACATGGATTGACAAAGTGGCTGTGACAGTGGGCTCAAACATAGAAACCATTGTGAGGATGGCAGAGGACCAGGCAGTGTATTTGGTTCTTTTGTACGTAGGGTCACTGTGATGGCACCTAACAACAACCAAAAGACTTGCAAATGGTTAACTCAGTGGCTAACCAAAAGGTTGGGAGTTCAAACGTACCCAGAGGATCCTTGGAAGAAAGGCCTGGTAATCTGCTTCTAAAAAAATCACTCACTGAAAACCCTATGGAGCACAGTTCTACTCTGATGTGGAGTCACCATGAGTCAGGTTGATGGCAACTGGTGGTGGTGGTAGAAGACTTAGTGAGCCATTTCTTCATCTCAGGGAAATTTTCCTTTATCATTTGTTTAGTTATAACATCTCTATCTGATCCCTTTTCTCCCATTGCATTTCCTTGTTGCAAATTAGGTCTCCTGGATTTATCCTCCAGGTCTCTACATTTTTAGCTCTGTTCCTTGAAGTAGTTCTTCTGTATGATCTTGTAGACCATTAGTTTGATTTTCAGTAGCATGACCTTACTCATTTTACCTTTTAAATATTTTAATGATACAATTAATATTTTGGAAAGACCACCCTTACAGCTGTTGAGAGATTGGAGAGAGGCAAAAAGGAAGCAGGGATTGGTTGTTGTTGTTGTTATGTGTCATCGAGTCGTCTCCGACTCATAGTGACCTTATGTACAACAGAATGAAACACTGCTCGGTCCTGTGCCAGCCTCATGATTGATTGGTTAGAGATTGGTTAAGAGGTAATTTTTCCGTTGACAGTTGATGGTGGCTCAGAGAGGGTGAGAGAAGAGGTGAAATTAAATTATTTTCTGCACACATAAGCTACAAGTTTCAGTGATGGTTTGGACCTGGGAGTTAAGGGAGTGGGGGACATCAGGGATGTCTGTCTCTCAGGTTTTGGGCTTAAGCAGCTGCACAGATAGAGATGCTGTTCACTCAGCTGAGTTGCAGAGGAGAGTGTATCTCAGTGTTCTCTTTTGAACACCTTAGGTTTACAGTGCCCTGTAAGACATCCAGTGATATCCTAGGGTATGCTTCATCAGTTCTGTGAGAGAGGGTGCAGTGGACTTCATGGAAATGTTAGCGCAAAAAGGCTTGGGAGTGGCAAAGTCCCACCTCCTTTAGCTTCACAAGGGACGGGGAGAATCGCCATTAGCAACAGCCCAAGGTTGATTCCTATGAGGCAGAGGTCAGATGTTTCTCCACCCTCCAACCTTTTTACCAATTCTTACACCAACCATCCCTCCCACAGCACTCTATTTCTCTGCAGCATTCGATAATTCATTGTAGTGGCCACACAGAACTCACAGACAATACTCACGATTATGGGGTTTACTGTGGAAGCAACAGGTTACAATTCAGGATCAGAAACAACTCAGGATATAGTTCATCAGTCAGGACAGTTTCTTCTCAGCCTTGCCACAGGCACACTTTTCTCTGGCCTTGGCCTCTGCCCTGCTCAGGCCAGTGTTACAAAGCTCTTTTAGCTTTGCTGAATAGGTGCCCAGAGAGGCACCCCACCCCGCCAACAAGCCTCCTGCCCAAAAGCACTCAGCTTTCTTGCTTCATGGGCCAAGAAGCCTACTGCTCTGTCTTGTGCAGGTCTCTTGGTTCTGCTGCCTCTGTCTCTCTACCATCATCTCAATCCAGAGATCTCACATCCAAAGACATGCTCCACTCCTAGTTCTTCTCTCCTGATGGTAGCGAGATCCCTTTTTCTGCCTCTTGGATGGCTTATTTTAAGCCTAGCACATGGTAAAACTGACCAGTCCCCACATTAGAGTTCCATATGCCTTATTTCCATGGTCCCTCCCCCACAAGGGTGCCATGTACATGTACCTTATTTACATCATTAACAAGCTATCCAATTCCCTTGCTGGTCCATAAGTACCTCATATTTATGTAGTCCTACTTAGTCATCTGGCGGTTCAAACCCACCAGCCACTCCTCGGAAGGAAGGTTGGGCAATCCTACTTCCGTAGTGATACTGCCTCGGAAACCCAAGGAGGGGTCGCTAT